TTGAGAGCTCCATGGAACAGACAATGTTAAGACCCATTTTATAGATGAGGGAACTGAGGCTTAGAGAGGCAGAGGCACTCGCCCAGGGCACACAACTAAAATTCAAACCCGGATCTCTGTGCCACTTCAGCTTGTTTTTAAAACCCAATCTGAAAATCTCTACCTCCTGATTGGAATATTTATTTATTTATTTATTTTTATTGACTTTCTACAGAGGAGCTGTTTGCGTTAAGTCTTTGACAAATAGATGGTTAGGGCCGGGTGTCATGGACTCCTGGGCTCAGTGATAGAAATGAATGAGTAGGTGTGTGTGTGTGTGTGTGTGTGTGTGTGTGTATGTGTGTGTGTGTGTGTGAGAGTGTGTGTGTATGTGTGTGTGTATGTGTGTGAGTGTGTGTGTGATATGTGTGTGTGTGTGTGTGTGTGTGTGTGTGTGTGTGTGAGACACTGTGTTTCCTTCTAAGTAGAGCTCGTTATCCGCTGGATAGCCCATACAGGACAGATGGTGGGTGAGCCAGGTGCACAGGAAGAAGCGCCTCAGCATAATTCTGAAGCGTGCTCACTGATCCTCCACAGGACATTATCCTCACACTTCATCTCTGTCTCAGAAGCACATCCCTCCTCTCCCCCGCCTCCCCCCCGAAGATAAATCCTCTCTCACGCTGCCCTGGGCCTTCGGCGCGGCGGTTTGAAGTCAAAAGCCCTCACCAGCAGCTTTCCTCTGCTCCCTGCGTCCCCAGCAAGTCACCCACTGTGCCCACATCACCTCTGACGCCCCTGCCCACCTCGGGGCAGGCGGTGTGCTGGCCCAGGTCAGGGAGGACCGGGCTTGGGTGAGCTAGCGCATCTGTGGCTGCGCTGTCCGTGGGGACAGCCCTGCCTTGGCACCTGGCTGAACCCCCGCCCCTGCCTCCCCCTTTCCCTTTCCACCCTTTCCCCTTCCACCCGGTGACGAGCATCACAGTCTTGGGTGGTTCCCCGTTAATCAGGAGAGAAAAGCCAAAAAGACCTCTGGGCCTTGGTATCGCCCTTGGTGTCTTGTTCTCTCTCCCCTGCTGTGCAGAGGCGGGCAGCGCCGCCCCCGCGGCCTGCAGTGTGCGGAGTGCAGCGCCAGCCCTCTGACATCGGAAAGGAGGCCTTCCAACCTCCTCTTGGGAAACTCCCACCCCGGCTCCCTCCAGCCGCTGGGGGGCGTCGGGGGCCTCTCAAGGCCCGCTCTGTGGGCGCCCCCTTCCAGGCCCCTCAGGGACAGGCCCAGACCCTTTCCAAGCTGAAGTGGACCAGGGATTGCACAGAGGATTGCAGGGCGCGCTCTGCCCCACTGCACGGCTGTCAGCATGACCCAGGGCCTGGGCTGGTGAGCCTCTGAGGCCCTGGTGTCTGCTCTGAGACGATTTCTCTTCAGCAGGCAGGGTTCCTGCGGCGCGCAGTGCAGACTTGATTTCTTAAAAAAATGTGTTTTCAATGATGTCAGAGAGGAAGGGAGAGAGAAACCTCAGTGATGAGAGAGAAGCGTTGATCAGCTGCCTCCCGCATGACGCCCCCCACTGGGGATCGAGCCCCAAACCCAGGCCTGTGCCTCATTGGGAATGGAACCGTGACCTCTTGGTGCCTGGGTCGAAACTCACCCACTGAGCCGCACCGGCCACGCTCCCTGCATCTTCTTAAAGGACCACTGCTGACGTAGAGTGAACACAGGACTGCGTGAGCTCATGCCGTTCCTCCACGTCCCCGTGTAACCGGGACCCAGATCAGAACTGGCAGCCCTCCAGCCCCCATCCAGAACCCCCTCCTGCCTCCTCCCAGGGGCAACGAGTATCCTGGCTTGAGGCCAGTTTTGCCTGTTTCTGAGCCTCATAACAATCGGGCCTCCCAGCCTGCGCACCGTTGGTGATGCGTGGTAACCAGCCTGTTATAGGAAAGGCGTAAGGGGGAGCCAGGCAGAAGGGGGTAGGGGGGGATTCGTCCCTCGTTCGGGCAGCTTCACTGGGAAGCTGCAGCTTTGCACTCCCCAGAGAGCTGTGGTCCCGCAAAACACTGGGACCCAACTAAGGGAAGACAGACATATGCCCAGTAATGTTGGGATGATAATGAGCAGGCACCTGCCTGTCAGTCACACCTGGGAACAAAGATCATTGGCCAGATTCGGCATGGCCACCACAAGCACAGGGACATTTGGAATAAAGGATCTCTCTCTCTCTCTCTCTCTCTCTCTCTCTCTCTCTCTCTCTCTCTCCCTCGTGCTGGTGGCTTCCTTACATTCACCCATGTTTCCTCTATAGTCATGTGGGCCTGTGGATGGCAGGGGGAAGCGGGGGCAGTATTGGACCGTGCAGACACAGAAAGAAAATTGGGGACCCTGCTGATCTTCGCCCCCATGGAGGCAAACGGACTTCCTCCTCGGCCAGACTGAGGGGAAAGAAACCTTGGAAACTCAGGTTGGATTCCACTGAAGTGAGAATCACTCGTTCTCCTGCCCACGTCTCAGAAAATTCTTTTCTTGGGATGTCACAGCACCCCATGCCAGGAGCAGCAGGTGGGGATGGCCCACTCCCCTCGTTGGCATTGCCTTTGGGGCTGGGTAACACTGTGTGTCCGGGGCTGTCCGTGCTCTGTGGGATGGAGAGCAGTATCTCTGGCCTCCAACCACAGTTCTTTAAAGAAATCAATTGGCCCTAGCCGGTTTGGCTCAGTGGATAGAGCACTGGCCCAAGGACTAACCAGGTCTCAAGGTCAATTCCGGTCAAGGTCACGTACCTTGGTTGCAGGTTCCCTGGCCCTGGTTGGGGTGCATGCAGGAGGCAATCAATCAAGGTAACTCTCTCAGATCGATGTTTCTCTGTCTCTCCCTCTCCCTTCTGCTCTCTCTAAAAATCAATAGGAAAATATCCTCGAGTGAGGATTATAACAACAAATAAAAACAAAAAAATCAATAGGCCACATTTATCTGACTCTATTTCTGGGCCCTTTTCTGTGTCCCACTGGTCTGTGTACCTTCTCTTTTGCCAACACTACTACTATTGGGATAACATAGCTCTATAGTAAGTCTGGAAATAAAGTCCTCTGCATTCATTTTCCTTGTTTTTCTTTTTCCAACCATTTTGGCTAGACTTGGTCCTTTGACTTGGTGTGTATGCGCTGGAACCATGTTGTCTACACGTATAAAAACGCCTGCTAGGATTTTGATGAGGATGATGCTGAATGCAGACACCAACTGGGGAAGCATTCACATCTTCACATCGAATCTTCCAGCTTATGACCATAGGAAATCTTTGCATTTATTTATATGTTCTCTTATTTATTCCATCAATATTTTATTATTTTTACGATATAGAGCACATACGTATTTTGTTAGATTTATACTTACTGTTTTATATGTTGGTGCTCTTGTAAGTGGGACTTTTTTTGAATTCCAGCTGTTTGTTGGCTGCATATAGAAATACCATTCATAGTTTAAGTGCGATGTTAGCTCTGGGCTGTTTGTAGAGTTTTTACCAGGAACGTGTGTTTAGTTCTGACAAACGTGTTTTCTGCATCTACCTCGGGCCCGGGCGTGGCTGCCGCTTATTTCTGCCAGGGCGGTGAGTCACAACCGTGGATGTTTGAATGTGGGGGCAGCCTGTGTCCTTTTTCTATGTCTCCGGGTTCTCGTTGCCAGTATCTGTGTCTACTTTTCATCCGTGTGGAATCGGGCCAGGGATCCGCAGCTTCTCGTCATAGCTTTGATTTCAGCGGCCGGTGATGCTGGCATCGTTCGCGCGGTGTGGGGAGTGCTCCCTGAAATGAGGTGGAAAGTGTCCTCTTCTACTTTCTGGAAGAGACTGTGTAGAATTAGTATAACCCCCCCACTCCCTCCCCTCACCCCCCACCCCCCACCTCTGCCCCCAGGAGCCTGTGCTGACCCGTGAGGCAGGAATGGAAGCCGGTGCCTGCGTCTCCCCTGAGGCTCCACCCTCCCCTGCAGACCCGGTCAGGGGACCGCCCTGGGTGGCCCTTTGGCTTCTGGGGAACTTTCACTTCTTTCCTCAGTTCCCAGAAGAATTCATTTAAAATTAACAAAATCCGGCCTGACTGGCGTGGCTCAGAGGTTGAGCGGCAACCTATGACCCTGGAGGTCCCAGGATTGAACTCAGTAGATTGTGACCTGATCTACGGTAATGGGACCGGTGAGCTCCTGGCTCATGGGTCTGACGCTCAACCACTGAGCCACACTGGCTGGGCAAGTATCAACGTTTACCAAATTATGTCCCATGCGATATTTGGGGCACGCTCATAATTAAAAAAAAAAAAAATGTATTGTTGTTCACCCGAAGCTTCCATTGAACCCGGTGTCCCGCTTTTTCTGAGGTTTCACCTGCGGGTTTATCTGACGACCCTCGCCCTCCAACAGCTGCCATCCCAGGCCCTGGCAAGGACTTCTGAGCACTGGCCTTGACCCTGGAGATCACTCCCCAGGGGGCGAGGCTCGGAGAGGGGGCACGGCTCCGGTGGGGCCGGAACCCTGGTCTCCTGGCTCCTAGGACACCAGGAACAGACGCACGTTCTCCCTCCCGAACAAATGTAACTGTACGGCCCACAGCCCAGGAGCACGATGCCCGTCGTGGCTGGCTGCAGCCGTGCCAGGGCCTGCGGGTGGCTCCTGGGGAAGGAGGTGGACCCAGGGTGAGGCCCACAAGCCCACCACCCCACCAAGCCCGCGCCCACCGAGCCCTCTCTCTCGCTTAGCCTCTGAGGCCGGGCTGACTTCGTGCTTGGAAAAATTTCCCTTCAAAAGGCTTTTCTGTCCCTTTCTCAGGAGGCGCCCAGCTTGGGGGGGATTATGTAGCCTCTGTCTCCTCCTCTCTTCGGCAGGATCACTTGGGGACCAAAGGCCGCCTCCTTCTGCTGAGCAGCCCTGTGGGGGACAGGGGAGGATTGGGGGGGCTGACAGGCCGTGTCCCCGGGGCGGGCCGTCCTCCCCCAGCCCCCAGGCCCCAGTGACGCTCTCTCCCTCTCCACAGCTGCCCATGATGGGAGGAGCCTTCATGGACTCGCCCAACGAGGACTTCAGCACCGAGTACTCGCTCTTCAACTCCTCCACCAACATCCACGCGGCGTCCGGCGGCCAGGGCCCGCCCGAGGAGCCCGCCCGCTCCTCCAACGACGCCGTCCTGCTGTGGATCGCCATCATAGCCACGCTGGGCAACATCGTGGTGGTGGGCGTGGTGTACGCCTTCACCTTCTGAGGGGCCCGGCTCTGCGGGCGAGGCGTGGCGGAGCGCCCACCGGGCCAGGGCCCCCCAGGGGCAGCGACCCGGCGTCTGGAACTGCGCCCAGCGCCCTCACTTCACACCCCCGCCAACCTGAAGCCCCTGCGTGGGAGCGTCCAGTCCCCCGGGCGCAATGGGGCCAGGCTGCCGAGGGGCAGGGCGGGGACGTGGTGAGGCTGCACCCCAAGAACAAGAAGCTCCAGGGGGCCGCCCCTTGGGCTCCCAGCACAGACATCACGAGGCGAGGGCTCCCCGGCAGCACATAGCCGCCTAGCTGTCCAGCCCAATGCCATCTTGTCCCTCAAGCCTGGGGGCGGGGTGCCGGGCAAGGGCCCCCTCAGAGTCTGAGTGTCCCCACCTCCTCTCATCCCCTGGGATATGGGTGGGGGCTGCGTGAAGGGCCTTGGAACGTTCCTTGTGTGACTTGCAAACGACCCTTTTGTCCCCAGACACGGCCCCTTAGGAGACCCCAAAGCCGCGGGCACCCCAAGGAGGGGAAGGCCGCTGGAGACCCGGGGGAGGTGGTTTCACCTGCGGGTGGCCCTCTTCTTTCTGAAAAGAGGAGACGGCACCTTCCCTCCAAGATCTGCGCTGGTCCAGGCCCTGCGTGAAGATGTGCGTCCTTCTCTCTGAAACCGGAGAGGGGAGGCGAGCAGGGCCCGTCCGCCCAGGCAGACGTGTGCGGTCCCCGGCCCGCACGGAGGGGCCAGGTCTGAGGCTCCCGCTGAGCCCCGCCTCCAGCTGGCTCCTGCCTTCCCAGCTGCCCTCGGTGACAGTATCTGGGGGTCGTGCCAGGTGGGCAGGGCGCTCAGACACCCAACTATCAAGTCAGTTTGTCTGCTGTGTGCTCTGCTGCTGGGAGGGTGGAGCTGCCATGGCAACGGGGTTACCAGCCTGACCTCCAGACAGCGCCGGCCCTTATTGGTCCCATCCGTCACTGCGGCCACCGTGCAGGACAGGGGCGTGGAGAGCTGGCGTGACATTGGAGAGGGATGTCTGGAGCCGCGGACAGGGCCCTGCTCTCTGCAACACCAGCCTGGGGACGGGACTGGGAATGGGGCCCAGGGCCTCTCTGCCGGGCTGCAGCGGGAGATTGGGAGCCTGACCCCTCTTCAGAGCTGGCCACAGCCTGTGTGTGACCGGAGAAGCCCCCCGAGCCTGGCTTCCCCAGGGTGCAGGCACAGGGGAGCCCGAGGACCCCAAAGGGTGAGGCTCCAGCAGAATCGCTGTGGAGGGTGTGGACGTCCGGGTGGCATGCGGGTTCCGGCCAGGCTCAGGCCTCCTGCACCCGGAGCAGGGGCAGGTGCTCCCTCAGACCCAGCCGGGGGCTCCCTTTTGGGCTCCTGGGTGAGGGGGCCAGGGCCCCCCTTGACTCGGGGAGCCAGGGCTGAGAAGGAAGGGCTGTCCTCTGCAGCGGCTGCTCCTCGGAGAAAGGGTCCTGCATTTTCTGGAATGTTCTCTGTGCACTTTTTAATGCTGTTTCCCCTTTGCGAGCTGCAGGTGTCCCCCGGGCGCTGTCTGTGTGAGGGGCACCTGGGGGAACAGAGCAGCACTCGCTGTGCGAGGTGGGGAGTCCCAGCACTGGGGCTTCGGTGGAGAGGCCGGAGGACACTTTGGCCCGGGGTGCCCTAAGGGGTGCCGCCCTGTGGGGCCTGAGCACGGTGACTGCACTGCCGGCTCCTGCTCCGCCACGTCCCCTTCCCCCTTTCCAGGAGGCCAAGGCCAAGAGGCACGTGAGACCCCCTCCTAAAAGAGATTGATCCTAAAAGAGATTGATTGCCTCTTCCAGGAAGAGGCAATCAATCTCTTTTAGGATCCCAGGGGGACTGCTGTCCCTCTGCTGGGGCGACAGCCCTCTGCACCCCGTTCTAATGGGCGGCCGGGCACAGGCCGGCTCCCAGGCAGGGGTGGGGTGCGGGGCAGGGGTGGGGTGCGGAGAAAGGCCTGGTTGTCCTTACTGTCCCACTTTTCTGCGCAGCTGAGGTCGCTGTGCCCGAACCCTCAGCTGGGCTGCATCGCCCCAAAGGAGGGACCTCCCTATCCGCCCTGGGGGGGGCATGTCAGTCAGGCCCCTGCCTGAGGGCAGCCAGGGCCACGCAGTCGGTTCGTGGGGAGCTGTCGAGGCCGGACGCCTGGCCCAGGCACCCCCTCCCCCCAGCACGCTGGGTGCTCCAGGGGAGCAGGGGAGGCCCTGGGTTACCAGCCCAGCCCTGAGACCGGCACCCTGTTCTCTGCCACCTGTCAGCTGCCCCTTCACCAGCCACGTCCTGGCAGAGGCCCTTGGACTGTCCCCAGAGCAAGTAGGCGGGGCTGAAGGGACCGGGTGGCCAAGGAGCAGCGCTCGGGGCCAAGCGGAGCGGCCAGGGCGGAATGGCCCTGCCCGCCGCTCTCCGCCCGCTGCTCCCGGCCCTGACTGGTCACTCAGTGAGAGGCACGGAGGAGGGCACGGGTCAGCAGAGCCCGAGGGCCGGGCAGAAAGGAGCCTTGGAGCAGAGTCCCCGCGAGGTGCTTGGAGGTCCCACCTTCTGTGTGTCCTTTCCCTGTGGGGGTGGGTACAGGGGACCCCCTCCCTGACCTTGGAGGCCAAGGAGAGGACGGACTGCTCAGCGTGAGAAAGCCGGGCTCCCGGGAGCGTGCTGGTGCGGCCGGACACACTGACCACACACCTTTTGGTGTGAGCTGCGCTGTCTGTCCCGAGTCCCTGAGAAGCCAGTGTTTTTGTCATGAAACCGAATCAAGGCCGGGAGCCCAGGGAGGTGCTGAGTGCATGGCGCCTCCCGAATTTGCTCCGCCCCCGTTCCTCCCCTGCCCTTCCCTGGGCCTTAGTGACCAGCGTCTGTCCGTCTGTCTCCTTAGCCATCTTCCCCCCAACATGAGAGCTGCGCACTGTCCCCTCGATCCAGAGGCCTGACCAGGGCCCCCCCCATCTCTTACCCTCGAGGACACGGAGTCTCCCGGAGGGTCAGGAGGGGACAGGCCAGCAGAGGCCGGGGTCCTGAGCCCAGAGCATCGATCCACAAAGTTTCTGAACTGCAGGCCGGCCCAGGGCTGCTCAATGGGGGACACTTGTCCCCCTGGCACTGTGGCAGTGTCTGCAGGAACCCTGGTTTCCACAGCAGGGGAGGGGTCTGCTGGGATCCAGGGGCCGGCGCCACCGCTGACCAGTCCCGGGACAGAACTCTGGCCCCAAACACCCGTGGTGCCGGTGAGGCTGGGAAACCCGAGGAGGCCGTCCCATCTGGTCCGGCACCGGCACCTCCCCAAGGTCCCCTCTGCCCTTTGGGTGAGTGTGAGCTCTTCAGAGCAGAGCAGCCGCCATGGAGAAACCCCGTTGATGGCGGGGGAGGCCCTGAGCCGTCCCACGCCCCCGCCCACTAACGACCCCGAGGGACCCGGCCTCCCCAGGCCTCAGGAGCAGGCGCCTGGGGAAGCCTCGAAGGGCTGGAATGGGGTGCCTGACCGCCTCTGGGCGAACCCACATCCTAACCCTCCCTCGCCGCCCTACTTCCCCAGCCATGGGCTCCCCCCACTCTGTTCTCCCCGAAGTCCTGCAGAAACCGTGTTCTTGTGACCAGCCGCCTCCGTCCCAGTCCCTCCCCGAGAACCGGAGTGTGTCTGTTTTCTTAATGTTTTCATAACCGCCTTGTGATGTGAGCCTCCGGCTGAATAAAGGAAGGCACTGGAGCCCTTGTTCTCAGTCCTCGCTGCCCCGCCCCTGCTCGGAGGAAATGAAGGCTGTTTCCCGCGTGGGCTCCCATGTGCGCCTTGGGGTCGGACCGTCCGGCGTCCTGGTGTGAGGCTGGCGTGTCCCTCGGCTGCCGGCGCTATCCTGCCCCCGGGTTGTCTGCTGTGATGGTTCAGCGGGAGGAACGTGTCGGAGCCCTCCCTGTGCGTTATTCCTGCCCGTCCCCGGCACCCCGGCGCCTTCCCATCCTCGGCCTGTAGTAAGTCCCAGGAGCGCTACTCACCTGCCCATCTCCCCGTTCCTCCTCCCACCCCCCTTCCGAGTCACCTGAGAGCCAGCCCCTGCGCCCAGCCCAGCGCCTGGCTCACAGCAAACACCTGCTGGGCATTCAGGAAATGAGTGAGTGAGTGAATGAATGAATGAATGACAGCTGTGATATCCGCCCAGGCGGGGCAGTGAGTGTGCAGCCCTCACTGGGTGTTCGGTGCCCTCCCGAACTCATCACACACAGTGACCCCCTTGCTCACAGCCTGTATCGGGTTGGCACGCTGTTAGTCGGCCTGTACAGATGAGGAAACTGAGGCACAGAAAGGTTTTCACCAAGACCATGTCACTGGTGAGTAGCAAGACCAGGACTGGAATCCAGGATTGACTGTGTCCACCTTACGGTGGCTGTGAGTGCCCCCTCAGCATTTGTGGGGCATGGACTGTCGGGGGCCATGCCAGGAGTGGGGTGCTGGGCCAGTGAGCAGCCCCTACCCCGGAACACAGTGTGGAGGATGACACAGATAATGTCATCGTCAAGGGTTTCGTGTGCAGAACATGGGGACCCCGTAGTGGGCTCTGCCCCAGGTCCCTTCCGAAGAACCCACACCAGGCCCCAAAGGAGGGCCGCCATGGGGCCAGGACCCACTGCGCCGGAGCGGAGGGGGCAAGGGCTGCCCGGATCAGTGGCATATGCAGGAGCAGCTCATGGAGCTTGGACTCAAAGCTCGGGGACCCAGCTTAGAGACTGGGCATCCTAAATGAGAGGAAGGGCCCGCCTCTGGGCAGGGCAGGAGTGTGCCAGTCCCGAGATTCATGGCCCAAGGTCAAGGGTGTTGTGACCAAGAAGCCTTGGGCTGCAGATGTGCCCCCACAGAGAAAGCCAGAGGGAGACTCTCCAGGAGAAGAAGGCGGCAGCCACAGCCCAGTGCTGCTGTTCACATTTCCAGAGGCAACCGTGAGGCCATTCCCTACCAAGCACGGCCCCTGCTCCCTACTGGCACCCCCTCACCCCTACCCCCGCCCC